TTGGGGTAATTCATCAGAAACTGTACAGTATACAGTCACAGCAGTGACATATTTCAATACTATCCAGGAGGCACAGCAGGCTACTTTGGTTGATTTTCCATCCAATACGTGTGTGTGTGTGTGTGTGAGTGTGTGTGTGTGTGTGTGTGTGTGTGTGTGTGTGTGTGTGTGTGTGTGTGTGTGTCAGGTGTGAGTGTGTGTGTGTGCATTCAATTTTACATATGGGAAATTTCCCATGTGTGTCTGCCAATATACAGAGAACAGTGCTGTCATTTGTGTGTGTGTGTGTGTGTGTGTGTGTGTGTGTGTGAGTGAGCATGCAGCTTGCTGTGCTGTGTTTTATTTTCTTCTAAACTCCTCAGCATGAAGACATCCGATTGGACAAAATATCACGGCACACATCAGGGAAGACGCACACAGTGTGATTGTCTATTTCTCTGTCATCTCTCCTTCCTCTTTAAACAAGTCTTTCAATAGCAACAGGCTTCCAAAGACTCACTTAGACTCAGCTCTGCGTGGTACTGGAATACATACTGTACATTATATTGTACATTTTGTACACACACTTAGTAAAACTGTTTGTTTTATCACTGTACAAATACACATGTAATATTACAGATTAAAATATGATCAGTGTACAGCCAGAGAGTTTCTTTTATGTGGGTTTGGAATTCAAATTGTAATTTAAAATCTATAAAGATATGAATATTAAGTGTGTTTCAAAGAGAATATGATTATAAGAGCAGGAGGTATAAATATATGTGCATTTCTGGAGGCATGATTTGCAAAGAAATGGATTCTCGCCTTGCAAAAAGAGCGACTGGATTCAAACTTTTCAACTTTCGGAGCAGCGTCCAAGATCGCAGGAGTGACTTTTGCAGCCAGAAAGGGGGATAAAAGAGCAAACCTGGAAACTCAGAGGAGGACAAAAGCTGAGAGTAGTTTCCAGTGACGAAGGCCCGAAGGCCGGAGGCAAGGGCTTCATTCTGATTTCACCTGTAAATTTATGAGGCCTCACACTCACCTGGGGAAGAAGCTGGCCGTCTGATATCTTACTGGACACACTTTCTAACTTTTGCAATTTTAACATCCTGGGGAAAAGTTTTTTTTCTTCTTTTGTGGAGCACCCACAGTGTTGATGTTTGAGTTGTTTGACCCGCTCTGAACTTCAAGGGTCGAGATTAACGTTTAAAACAAAATCAGCAAACAGAAAAATGAAAAAAAAAAAAAAAAAAAGAAGTAAACTCAGTAGCCTGCTGCAAGTGTTAAATGTACATACAAGTGTTCATTTTTCATTTGCTTACGTATGTAGATGTTCATTGTGTATTCACTCACTGTGGCTTGTGGCTTCTCTTCGCAATAGGAAAAATCAATTTTACAGTCTATTGTTTGCATTGTATATATCTATATGATGATAAATTATATGTAATTCGGATGCGGTACATTTGAAATGTACATACACGTCTTTAATAGCTACTATCTGAATGTTTCCTCCCCCAAAGAACCCCTCATTTATTCTCCTCCCCCTCCCCCTCCTCCTCCTCCTCCTCCTCCTCCTCCTCCTCCTCCTCCTCCTCTTCTCCCCACTATGATACTTCCTGTACAGTAACAATGGTATTGATTTCATTTTTTGATGCATTCTTGATTGATTATTTGTTCTGGACAATGAATCTGAGTGTTACTATCACTGGCCACCTATGACACTGTAAGATGAACTGCATTAAGTGGTTACATTGTGCCATATTCTCTCAGAATGAAATTCAAATAAAAATATATGAAATGTGTTTTAAATTTTTTTGGAGCTTTTGAGTGTGTGAAGGACGTCGCTAGGATTTAAGGACATGGGGGACTTAAGCCTGGATCATACAGAAAGCGTTTTGCAGGTTGCCTTCTATGTAATCAATCTACTATGAATTTAGGAATTTTATTTATTTCACAGTAAGTATCTAGTTCCCAGACTGTTGAGGCAGAGGATACTTGCTGTAGCTCTGGTTGAGGCTGAGAGGCTTTCACAGGGACACAGAGATCTGTGTGGGTACATGAGACCCTAACAAAGAGGGTGGGTCATGGGGAGTACCACCAGTTGGTCCAGGAGCTTCTCCTCCATAAAGGAAGTTTACAGACAAATTTTAGGATGACTCAGAGGCAGTTTGACAACCTGCTGTCTATCATAAGGCCGTATAGCTCTGGGTATCCAGCAACCACTACCACCAGTTTCTCCTCCATTGTTTACCAACTGTAAACTTATTGTCACGACAGAAGGCCCGCCTCTCAAATAATCTGATTGGACAATGGGAAAAATGATGAGATGATGTGTGGCTCCTTTTTTCAGCTCGAGGAGTTCAGAGTGTAGAAATGTGTCTCATTACAAACAATTACGAAAAGTCACCTCCAGCTGCTAAAACCTTTCTGTGTGATCGGGGCCTTAGCCCAGGCCTCTACGGGGGGACGGGGAGGAACCTCCCCCATGAAAATGTTTGGTGAAAGCTCTGATTTGATTGCCTGATATGAGATCAACAGAACTGTCAGCTCGATACACTCCGTTTCCATCTTCAGTCTGACATTGCGTCCACACTAACCGATTTCTGTGGCGGAGAGGATCAGTTTTCCCTAATCAATCAGGGGTCGACGTCAGCAAAGGCATGCGGTCATTCCCACAACCGAATCAAACGGGATCAGATTCCTTAAGGAGGCCTCAGGATAAGAGAGTGACTTCGGAATCTGAGCCAAGCCCTCAACGAGGGCACGTCTCAAGCCCGTTGTAGACGGGAGGTTCCAGACGTAAAAGCGGATTCAATCATTAGAAACCAACTTATCCCCCTGAATCTAACATCATTTTAAGTCCACACTGATGCGTAGCCATGGCAACATAATTGTTTTGCCGGATTTTGTGCTGGAGCAGAGCGATATTACGAAGACATGCTGATGTCAAACAGCCTCAGTAGCAACATCTGTCTTATGTATAGACCTGTTTCCACCAAATAGTTTCAGTATGGTACCTTTGGAACCAACAGTAACCCTTCAGACATGGTACCTAGACCCTAGTCTCACCACCAGACAATCAGAGATCTCCGCCTTCTGATAGACACTCCTTTCTAAAGTGTGTTTAACACACCGGCGAAAACGGCCGGCAACAAAGCAACGCCTCTTGCATTTTTGAAAAGGACACGCCTTCTCGGAAATGTGCGCTCCTCCTTTTCTCGTCCGCAAGGAAACAAACACACAGAGAGCTTGAAAATGGATGCCGAGAGATTAAACTCCGTTTTATCAAACGTGTGCTCATCCGTGAAGAAAATATTTTTCCAGTGGATGTCTTAGTTACAACATGATTGAGCTAAGTGGAGTAGTTTCATGTCGTATCCGACAACGGGAGGCTTTTAACAGATGACGTCCTGTTGTAGCTTTGCTGCTGCTGTTAGCTGTCCCTGTCAGCTGCAGCCACTGATGCTTTCTAGACATCGTGATTTACCAAAACTGAATAAATACCACACATAGCAACACAAAACTGCTTTGCTAGCTCAATCATGTTGTAACTAAGATATCCGCTGGAAAAAATATTTTTTTCACGGACCATTTAATGACTTATTACCTATTACAGACACCGCTAACGGCTAACAGGGCTAACAGCTAACGGTTAGCCCAGCTAAACGTGCACACAGAAATAGTAATGTTTGTTCAATCATTGTGTGTATAGACTTTACAAACATTGGATTAGTCTAAACGGTGATACAGTGATGTGAAAAATGTGATATATAGGCTATATATATATATGTAGCTAAAAGCTCTGCTGGTTTTCTACCCGGAAGTATTTGTAAACAACAAGGCGATTCCCTCTAACGTTATAGTCCGGCCGGACAGATGAGTCATGGCCTTGTAAAAGATTATGTTTGTTTCTTTTAGTTGGTGAGAATGTGTCACCGCAAACGTGACAAACATCCACTAACTTTGACGGCATCTTCTGCGAGCACGGCTGAGCCATTTTGTACCGCTACACGTGTTTCTAGTGGGACTATGTTTATGAGCACAAGAGTTCAGCGAGCCACCGAAGGACCGCCCTGCAGATTTACTATTGGTTCTGCAACGTAGGGAGTTTTTTTAAACTCTGAAATTGTATCCGCCCATCTAAACACAAAATCAGGGAGAAAGACATCAGTCTTTAGTTAAGCAAAGCGTCTAAAGACTGACTGAGTCTACTGAGTCTACCTAGACCCTAGTGTTTCCACCACAAACAGTGCTCTTAAATGTGGGCGGGGTTGTTGTCACTCACTGCTATCTGAAACCAAAATAGAACAGGCTGCAGTGAGTCTCTCTCCATGGGATATTTAAAAAATATTTGGTTTGTGCATTGATCCTTCTCAGGCAAGCTCAGGGGTTTAGTGTTGCTGTAGCCCACAGGAACAATGCTCCATGATGCTTTCTTTTTCTCCGAGTGAGGATCTGGTGGAAATTAATATATTTATATATTTATACGTTTGAAGATTCACTCATCACTAAAAGTGTATGTCACCCAAGAGAGACAATAAAAACTTAAGTAATGGAACTCATGCATTGAGTAACATTACAAGTTAACGTTCCACCTTAAAATTCGCCGGCAGTCTGCCCAGTGAATTCAATTATTTTTTCTTCGACTCCAGCAACCAATTCTATTTTGAAGACACCTTAACTAGGACTTTAAGGAAAATTTTGACTTATGGTGTTATGTACAACTGACCTGTGGTGCTTAAGTTACAAGAGAAAAATGGTGAGCACACAATAGCCTGTTGTGGCTAAGCCACTTGTTTTCGACATGCTAAACAGAACATAGAAATCTTACACAGTGGACCTTTAAATAAAAGATCTGAGTATGTCTTCTACCACTGTTAACGTCAGTTTAACAGCATGTTAAATGGGTTTTCTTCCTCTGCTGACGATCCACAAGGTGAGAGACACAAACACATTTTTTACCTTTAATTTTTTTATTCTTTTTTATTTTTGGAAAGAAAGGGAATGTTAACTCCAACTGAGGACTACAATCAGGAAGACTTTAATTTTGTACAGCCAAGAGCTGGAGAGTAAAAATCAGCGGGTATAAATTGAGGTACAACAGAGCAGCGAGCAGGAAAACACACTAAACACAGTCGCAGTTTTTTTTACACTTGTACAGTTTGCTATTTCATGCAGCCTCCAGACAAAACTAACTGTTTACTCTAACTGGAAATGGAAGAAAAATATCATATAGCACAGAGAGACGGGGGGGAAGCGTTACCATTAACTCGAGACACTTGGAAAAATTGCAAATGCACGTCTGATTAATTAAGTGAAGATGTTTAGAACTTCACTTTTCGCAAAACGCTTCATTAAGTCGAGGCACGGACCAGAGAGTTTTCCAAATTAAAGTTAGGCTATGCAACTGTAAAACAAATCCTATCCAATTTGTTTGTAAGAAAATAATCCTAGGAACAACATCATTAGGTGAGAAAGCTAGTAAACAAACGTCTTTCATATTCATTATTCATCAGTATTACGTCTCCTACCACATCATACAAGTCGTTTCTTATCAGGTGCTAGAGAGAAGAGAAAGTAAAACATGTTTGTCACTAAAAGTCATATTTCCACTGGTTTTGTCAAAGCTCTACAGGCTCCTACTGTCAACCTACAGGACACACAAAGAGGAACCGTGTTGAAATAGGGCAGTGGACGTCTCTCCACCCTCTTCTGTCTTCCTTCCCGGGGACAAACAGCCTCATCAGTCCATTTGGGTGCGCTCTCGCTTCTTGCCTTCCTTCTTTTGCTTCTTTGCATCTGCAAGACAAAAGACGGTGAGAGAGACGGTGTTTACTTTGACACTTTCCCTGCCAGAGGTGGTGTTTTTGCAAATAAACAAATCCCATTGTCTCCGTGAAGAGCACATATGCTCCGCTTCAGATTGTAATAATCAAGCGTATGAGTTTTAATTGGTTTTTTATTTTGCCAGGGTGCAGGTTTAGTGCTGAGACGCTGCATGCAGTCCCTCCTCCCGCTGTCTCCCGGGGATTGATTTGTGGCCGGGTGTATGCCCCATGAAAAACCGCTTTATCGACTTCCTGCAACAGTGGATTGGTACCTGGCAGCCATGACAGAAGACACAGTCCGTGGCCTCCTTCTATGCTTCGCGGCCTCTCCGCTCTGGTGAGCAGGAAGAGAGCACAACCTGCAGCCGTTTGGCTAGCTAGCTCCTGGCTAGCTGTTTGTTGGACTGTCAATCTGCTGAGCTGTTTGTGTGTATGTGCTTGTCTGTATGCATTTGTGTCTCTGAGCTGAACTGCCTTTTTTATTCTTTGATAATACGCCTGTGTGTGTGCAGACAGCTGTGGGTTACATAAACCTAAATCAATTTGTAGTGAAATGAGATTCCCTGCCGCCAAATAGGCTTTTCCATGGCCTTTTCTGCAAACCATGAACATGTTACATTTGCACGTTCCATACAAATCATATCAACGTTCCTAAAGTGACAATATATCTGAGCTGACGTCATCATCAGGATGTGGAGGGGATGGTAGATACAGTAACAGCTGAGCGAGACGCCTGCCAAGCTGCCGTTTGAAACCAATAAACAACACAATCAGTTTTGTTTTTTTGAGACATCGCTGTGTTTTTAGCTGCTTTTTAGCCACTAGACACCCTTTGCTGTTTTAACACCACAGATAGTGAAACTAAAAGCTGCTGTTTTCACCAAGTTACTGTACGTTCAGCTTCCAAAATGGCAGAAGTCATTCATTTTCAATGAGAGCCTGGCGAATTGGGCGACCTGTTCATCAGCTGCACGTCTTGGGCGACCAAAGCAACCGGAGCGTGTCCAGAGGAGAGTTAAAACACGTTTAACTTCATGGTAACGAGCTCTGACGCAGTTTGGCGACAACCATTTGGAATGCTGACATGCTTCAATGAAGCGGTCCCAGACAACAAGCCATGTAACTTTGGTTCCTACAACACACTTGTTCCGACAATGGATATCAAGAAGTTTGTTACTTGCGTTTGCACCCACTCAGTCCTTTATAATGTGTCACTGTTCAGTTACAGAGACTGAAATAAAAAGAATGAGGCTTGGGACTGCGTCGTGGAGGTAGTTGGTTGGTCTGGTGAGTTTTAAAGTGTGTAATGTTAGTAATAGAGGAGAGAATTACAGGCTAATGTTGCGACGTAGCATGCAAGTCTTCCTTGCTTGGTTTGAATGGGATGACATACTGCAAAGCAAAGCATTTTATCAACACAGATTTCGTAAAACGCATGGGTGCAGATCCCGGGGGGTGGGGGTGGGGGGGGGGTGGGGTGGCAGACATGTCCCCCCCAAATTCTGAAAAACACAAATTGTCCCCCCCAATTCTAAATAGCTTAAATAATTGAAATTGAACAAATGTATACAGTAGTCCTATATACTGGGAGAAAGGGGAGATGATGAGGAGAAATGGGAATCCGTGAGAGGCGAGAGATGAGAACGTGAGTGGACATAACATGCCTGAGATCGTGAAACTAGAAGTAGCATTAACTAACAGCGAAGCAGTGAAAAGGAGGGTGATGGCTGGTTCCATGTACTACTGGCTGTTTAAGAGAAATAAACAGTAAAGGTAAGCATATGATTCTCTTTGTAGTGCTTTTTGAATGACTTGGTGATGGTGATGAGCCTCTATGAAATCGTGAAATATGCTGGCAATCTCAAGCGCTCTGTGGCCATGATTTGCACGCGTGCAATTAAAAAAAAATCACAACTGATTGTGTCCCCCCCAAACTTGTCATCAGATCTGCACCCATGGTAAAACGACATTAAAATAAAGACTGGACAACAGCAAGCAGCAACTATGCGGCTCCTTTAAATTGACAAGCACGATCGAATGTTCAGTGATTCACGTGATGAGCGACTAGAGCGACCAAAGCTGCCACAAATATTTTTGACAGTTGTGCTTCTTGGGTGGGCTTCTTGAACGTAGTAGTTATCGCTGCTTTTCCGGCAGGGTTTGAGCCACCAAACCAGGTACTTTAAGCCAAGACATAATCTTTTCCTCACCATAATCACGTGGATTTTTTGCCTTAAGCTAACTACACGTTAACTGCAGCGTTGTTAAAACATAATGTTGTAATGAACCTGCTACGTAACGTGCAAATGCTACGAATTTGTGGTTTGAAGAAACAAACAAGAAAGGACGGCAGAGGAGATACCTGCACACCAATGCAGCTGGGCTGGACAGCCACAAAAAGGTTCACAGGCTGAGATCAATGCAACATAATGTCAATTTATTTAGGACATCTGTGTATAAAAAGAAGGGTGCTCAAAATGCGGGTGTCTCCTCTGCCGTCCTTTCTTGGTTGTCCATTGTATCGACGCACCTTTTTTTGTTGCCTTCAGTAAACACAGTTTCACAGCAACACTAAGACTTCACAAAGAGACATAAAAACACTACAAAGAGATGCAAAACCACCAGAAACAACTACAAGAAGACATAAAATGATCACAAACAGATGCAAAACCACCTCAAAGAGACAAACGTGTCTACAAAGAGACATAAAAGGACCACAAAGAGATGGTTTGGTAGTCAGGCTTCTGCTCCTCACAGTTGATCTCATCTAATTAGTGGTAGCAGCTGACTGATTGATCACACCTGGTAAGAATCTGTCTGTGTCTGTATCTGTTCTGTGAAGCACTCATGTCAGCAGCTCTGATGATAGTCAAGGACTCAAACCTTTGCTGCTGCTTTCATTCATGCTTTATTATGTTGTGCACTTTGAGCACCCTTCTTTTGTGCACAGATGTCCTAAATAAACTGACTTTTTTTTTGCATTGATCTCAGCCTGTGAACCTCTCTGTGGCTGTCAGGTGTGCAGGTATCTCCTCTGCCGTCCTCCAAGATAAACTTTTTTTGTTGCCCTAAGTAGGCACAGTTTCACAGCAGCCCTAAGACAGAAACATACAAGGCTGTTTGGGTTGCACAGTAGGAAAAAAAAAAGAGCAATGGCTGAACTCCATGTCAGGGTCCTGATGTTGACCTTACAACTTTCAGGAAACAAGTCTAAGACTCGGCTGTTTTGACTTTATCTGTAACCATAACTTTTAAATGTCAACACCAGAAATGAGAAGTGTTGTGTTGTGTTTGTTGACATCTGCTGTTTATGATGAGCTTGCACCTTTCACAATAAAGTGTTAAAAGCTGCTGAAAGTGGAAGTCTTTTATTTTCTATCATCTGCAGCAGTCTCACAAACATCGACCACTTACTGCTAAGATATACTACATTTGTGTGTTCAGCTCGTGCAGGATGGATGGATGAGTGGATGAGTGGATGGATGGATGGACTTGATGGATGGATGGACTGGATGAGTGGATGAGTGGATGGATGGATGGACTTGATGGATGGATGGACAGGATGAGTGGATGGATGGATGAGTGGATGGAGTGGATGGAATGGATGAGTGGATGGACTGGATGGATGGATGAGTGGATGGATGAGTGGATGGATGAGTGGATGGATGGGTGAGTGGATTGGATGCATAGAGGAAGGGATGGATGGATGGATGGATGGATGGATGGCTGGATAGAGGAAGGGATTGATGATGGATGAAGCGATGGATGGATGGATGAAGGGATGGATGAATAGAGGAAGGGATGGATGGATGGATGAAGGGATGGATGGATGAATAGAGGAAGGGATGGATGGATGGATGGATGGATGGATGGATGGATGGATGAAGGGATGGATGGATGGATGAAGGGATGGATGGATGAATAGAGGAAGGGATGGATGATGGATGAAGCGATGGATGGATGGATGAAGGGATGGATGAATAGAGGAAGGGATGGATGGATGAAGGGATGGATGAATAGAGGAAGGGATGGATGGATGGATGGATGGATGAAGGGATGGATGGATGGATGAAGGGATGGATGGATGAATAGAGGAAGGGATGGATGATGGATGAAGCGATGGATGGATGGATGAAGGGATGGATGAATAGAGGAAGGGATGGATGGATGAAGGGATGGATGAATAGAGGAAGGGATGGATGGATGGATGGATGGATGAAGGGATGGATGGATGGATGAAGGGATGGATGGATGAATAGAGGAAGGGATGGATGATGGATGAAGCGATGGATGGATGGATGAAGGGATGGATGAATAGAGGAAGGGATGGATGGATGAAGGGATGGATGAATAGAGGAAGGGATGGATGGATGGATGGATGGATGAAGGGATGGATGGATGGATGAAGGGATGGATGGATGAATAGAGGAAGGGATGGATGATGGATGAAGCGATGGATGGATGGATGAAGGGATGGATGAATAGAGGAAGGGATGGATGGATGAAGGGATGGATGAATAGAGGAAGGGATGGATGGATGGATGGATGGATGAAGGGATGGATGGATGGATGAAGGGATGGATGGATGAATAGAGGAAGGGATGGATGATGGATGAAGCGATGGATGGATGGATGAAGGGATGGATGAATAGAGGAAGGGATGGATGGATGAAGGGATGGATGAATAGAGGAAGGGATGGATGGATGGATGGATGGATGAAGGGATGGATGGATGGATGAAGGGATGGATGGATGAATAGAGGAAGGGATGGATGATGGATGAAGCGATGGATGGATGGATGAAGGGATGGATGAATAGAGGAAGGGATGGATGGATGAAGGGATGGATGAATAGAGGAAGGGATGGATGGATGGATGGATGGATGAAGGGATGGATGGATGGATGAAGGGATGGATGGATGAATAGAGGAAGGGATGGATGATGGATGAAGCGATGGATGGATGGATGAA